AGCTTTATCAGAAACTAAGGGTACAGACTACTGCGGCCATGCCAACTTGCATATCCCCTAGCAGTTGAAGATTTTGTAAATCTTCAACATCACTTTTACCATGATCACATCAAAAACAACATTTTACTTACAGCTGAACAAAAATGGACTAAAAAGGCCCCCAGGAAAACTGCTTTGTGTGAGAACAAAACCACTTTTGAGATGTTTTCAGGACAAATCCTCCAAAGTGTAGTGAATGCCTACCACAATGTAAGAACCCTTTTTCCCAGCCCCCGAACTAAAGCACCAATAGGATTTGTAAAACAGACAAGAATGCACTTTAACAATAGAAAAAGAAGAATTTTTAATCATTCAGTTCTAACAGCTCCTCTCAGTACTAACTTGAAATAACATACGCCATAGAACTTTTTCACGTTAAATCCATATGACACCCATATTTTTGTGCAAATACTAACATTCTTAATAATCCTATTTTTTTCTAACACTTGAACGTTCATACAGAAAACAGCACAAAAGGAGGTAATTGTCTCTTACAGGTTATTTTTGTCTCCAAAAAATACTATACACATTTTGGAGAGTATCATTCCCATCAGCTATCTGGGGTCACTTTTCACCTAGCATAAGTGGAAGAATATAACTGCAGCGTGTCCACAACAAATTATGCAAATACTTAATATTCACCTTGGTGCCAGAATTTAAAAAAATAAAATCTACAGAGTATTTTAGGATAAGCTAGAACATATTTAATCTGAAGAGTTCAGAATACCTCGGAGGCATTTTTGAGTTCGTGTCACTATATTAATGGAAGATACCAATTCTCCAGCTAGATCTCGATTTTAGATATGATGTCAGTGGACTGGTACACAAACCCTTCTGCTCTTCATCTGCAGAGGATGCAGATTGTCCTCTTAAGACTGAGCTTTGCCCCTTGACCTTTCAGCTGCAGCAGGTTGCTTTTCAATCTCAAGTTACCTAGAAAAATAGCTATCTTCCCATTCAACGGTACAGCAATCCTACAGCTGCTGACCCCACTAGAGTCTGCAAAGTTCAGAAACACCACTGGATCACACTCTAAACCATGATCCAAACTTGCTAAGACTTTTCAGAATAGGAAATTGTGTGCTCAAGCCTAATTAACAAACCAAATCCTGCAAGTCACTCAAAATACAAAAGCCAAGTTTTTTGCTTTTCATTTCTTTAGCGTAACACCAACCGTCCCACGTTCATGTCACTGACAGACACAAAAGAAAACACCCCATCTGCCCCTTAGTTCAGAAGACCACTCAGAATTTGCTTCTTCACTTGGAAAAAGACTGTAAAATAAACAAACCTGTTTAGCCAACTGATCCTTCTTCACCAAGCCAGTAGCTGCAGCAATGTTCCCTGCTCCTTCCACTGTCTTCTGGGCCACTGCTGTCACTCCTGTCACCACAGCTCCCCCAACATTAGACACTTGCTCTTTGGTCTTCTCAGCCACTGAGGAGAAGCAGAAGATGGAAAAACACATTACTGCTCTGGAAGCTGTAAGTTTTTCAGAGAATTGCATCTATCACCGGCAGCCCAACGTCATGAAGATCCATAAGGCCACTGCACTTTGTGCAGCCCAAGTGGATCTTAAGAAATGAGACTATCCATCTCGTAACACTGGAGCAGCAAAGGTAAAAGCAAGCCTTATTTATGGCTCAATTTCTCTTATGTGAAAGATATCCGACATTTTCATTCATGTCTAGCTGTACTTACTGCGAGGAAAATTCATTACTTAAGGGCCCTTATTATATCCAACTTGTGCAATGTTATGTGTAACGTATAATAATTGCATTCAGCATGTCCCAGTTTGGAAATGCATTTCAATTAGTCCATCAAACACTTGCTGAACATTAGAGTGCATGGAAGACAAGATTTTTTTACATTAGACTCAGAAGTTATTGATTTTTCTTTTTATTCTTCTTCTATTTTATTATTCTTATTGACTAATAAGCAGAGCTACTGTTGCACAAGCAGAGAATTTCAAATACAACCTTTCATCTGATACTCCGAGATTTTTGCCCCACTGCCAACATGTGCATCTATAACATACTAATCTATACAAAAAAGACTGAATGCCAAAGATGCCAAAGCAAACTGGATTAATAGCCGACTTCCAAGCCCCAGGGAGACAACTACTCCTTCAGCCTACACGTACATCAGCAGCTGCCACTCTACCTTTCAGAATATCACTGGGTTCTTTCTGCTCATTCATCCCCAAGGACTCTTTCTGGCAGCAGCTTGCACTGTAGTGAAACCTCTCTAAAAGAGAAGACAGCATGACTTCATGCCTTAAAGGTACACAGCCCGACTTTCAGCAAAACACACATTTACTCATGTAAACAAGGGACTGTTCTTCAAAAAAAAAGTCCATCCTATAGCTTTATAATTCTAGCTAATCCTATACTTTCCTCCAGCTGAAATCCCATCTGATCCATAAAATGTATTTGTAGCTCTATTCGCACCCTTTATGAATACAAAATAGATTGTTTGGCAGACAGGCCACACTTTCAGGCACTTGTTTTGGGAAGCACATAGAAAAAGGTTTTCTATGGATAAATTAGATTTCTTTAATTCCTTATTAAAAAGGTATCAGTTGGCCATATCACAGGTCACACAGCACAGCTTGCTGACCGACAATAAATAACAAATACGAGAAAGCTAGAAAGGTAACTAATGAGTTTAACAAGTGATTCAGTGATTCTTAAAAGACCCAAATAATAAATATCTCCTGACTGAAAATGGAGGCAGATCATTTAACACCCATTCTAACTAAACTGAAAAGTTAGTAAATGATTAAGTATTACATATATTACGCCCAAAACCATGAGCTTTCATTATAGAGCTATACATTGTCTGAAACTAGAAATAGACAAAATCTGTTCCAAATATCTTCCAACCTATCTGTGCTAATAAGATACAATTTCACAAGAGACTTCATTGTATCCATCCAGTACCCTATTGTCATATTTTTTCTTCCAGAAAATAAAGTATATCAAAAGTGAGGTTTGCTGAAAAACAACAGTTGCCCTCAGGGAGGGTTTGAAATAATGCTAGCAAGGGCAGGAAGACATCTATTAAGATGCCCCATTTCATTATTACCAGCTACAGAACACAAATACATTTAAAAGACAAAACTCAACTGGCTTGATGCTGACAAAGGTTCACTGGCTCAGTTGCTCTTAAGTGGATTCCTCCCTCCTGATGAAATGATAAAACTTGGTTGCGCTGTGTTCATTGACAATGGTCATAATTACCTTCAGTATTTCAAGATCTTAACAGAACACACTTACCCTAGGAAAGGCTTAGTATGTGCAAACAAATCAAAAAAAGCACAAAGAATCAGGCTCTAACACTGCTACTGGCACAACAAGATACCTGATAAAAGTAGTAACAAAAGCATTATATTTAAGATTTCTTCTCTTCAGACTTAGGTGGTTTAATCCTAGTCAGCAACTAAGCACCACACAGCCACTCACTCACTCCCTCAGGAGCAGGATGGGGGAAAGAAAATTGGAAGGGGAGAAATGAGAAAACTCATGGCTAAGAACAGTTTAATAACTGAAACACTAGAACAACAAACAAGACCAATCAAGAACAACCGAAGAAACAAGAACAACAAGAATAGAGAACAAACAAGAACAAGCTAACAACAGAAAACAAACAAGAATAACGAGAGAACAAGAAATAAGTACAAGATAACAACAAACTAGAACAAGAGAAAGCAAAAAAGAAAAAACAAGAGAACAAAAACAAGAGAACAACAAGAACTGAAACCAAACAAGAATAATAGACCAAACAAGAACAAGAATAGAGAACAAACAAGAATAACAAAATAATAACAAGAATTACAGAACAACTAGAGAAGCAGGAATAATAAAACATAACAAAAGAACAAGAACAGAGAACAAACAAGAGAACAACAAAAACAGAACACAAGTTGGTTGTCCTGCAACCAACTTTAGTGAACTACACAAACTGCCTAGATTTGCATAGGCGCTAATACTAGTAAGAGAAAGTCTGCCTGCCCTCCCGTCTCTAAGGAATACCTAAACATCATCAATGTCCCTATTACCAAGGGGACTCTGTAATAAGTTCCAGCCTAATGCCACTTCAGCTCCGAAATCCTAGAAACAGGAGAAAAAAAACCAAAATATGTTCCTAGTCTCCTGTATTTTATTGCTTACTCTGAGCAGTAACAGGGGAAAAGCATGAAGTGCACACAAACAAATCAGTTCAGAATGCAGGAGGTTGATACAACTAATTAAATTAATCTGAATACCAGGTTGTTTAATGATCTTAAGCCATTAAGTGTTTATAAAGTAGATGTCTGTTTCACATCACAGTACTGAGAAACAGAGTAAATCGGCTTCTGCAGTGCATAGCTGTGCTATGGCCTTTTTATTTCTGCTTTTTATCTCTGCTGAGACTGTCCACTCTAGTAAAGGATCCTGGGATGGTGTACAATGATCATGCCAAGGCTAAGTTTGAAACCAAAGTTTTAATCCTTTATACAGCACTGTTCAAAAATTATTAACATTGAAGCTTTCTTTTCCCTACTTGTTACAGACAACTGGGTAACGTACACTACCAATGAGAAACCCTTGGAGAAATTCAAAGTGAGAACTAGTTGCTCTCAATTTTGAACAATAAAAGTAGATTTTTATGGCACTAAATATACCTTTAAATATGTATTTCAGACAGCTAGGTTGCCTTAGGTATTTGAAGAATTCATTTACAAAGAAGTCATAAATACACTGGGGGTTCTTTAATTCATACAATTTACTGTAAGGCATCTGACAGAGTTATAAAAAACCATGACAGCAATAAATGACTCAGAATGTTAAGAACAAGAATAATCAGATAAAACAATTAAGTAAAAACCTGAACTATGGTTCATAACTGCTGATACTGTGTCTTGACTCAGCTTCAGGAAATGGACACATGGTTGAAGTATCGAGGGCTTTCTGGCCCTGATCTTTTGCACAAACCAGGGCTTTACTTTGACTATCAGGAGATGGACTGTAAATATTTCATCTTTGATGCTGTACATTTATGGACACTTATCCCTGGGAGATAAGCAGGAGGGATGAATTATGTATTTACAGTCAAACGCCAGTAAGACATGTTAATTAAGCCGGCAAGTTAGATACACAAGCTAACATCCCACAAAATCAATAAGCAAAGCTTCCTCATCTTCAGAAGTTCTGAGAAAGGGTGACCCGACAAATCATATGCTCACTGTATTCCTGTGAATCACAGCTTGGCATCCTCATTTTACAGTGTCTTAATACTCTTGATGCCACTAAACTTGGTACAATCAGGTCATACTTTGTGTAAAGCAGGAAACATTTCAGTCTTGTATTTCTGAGTTTGGAAAGCAACTGACCTAAAAGCATATTTACTTTTTCAGCACTTGGAGATGTTTCAGCTCCCAGTTCCTTCACAAGAAAAGAGTTTTAGACCACAGACTATTCAAAAATAACACTAGCAAGACCTTGGAACTCAGTAAAGAAAGGACTCACTGCACAAGTGAACACACACTCATTTTAATCTGTGATTCTATTTTGCATTTGACCATCTTCAGACTCTTGAATCAAATAATGTTTATTCATATGACAAAACGTGTTTCTTCAGATTTCAAATAATACTAACACCCTGGTGCATCAACACCAAAGAGAAAAGTAGGTCTTTACAATTGCCCTAAAATGCAGTTTTGTCACATCAACTTTCAATAGCGCTGATTTAAACGGATTTGATTTCTAAGGCAACCTCAGTAGCAATTCTCAGTGTCTTCACATTATATCTTACAACATCACAGCATCACTACAGTGAACTCAAATCTGGTTTTGCCTACCTTCTCTGCTTGCCACAACAACCCACCACAGACTTGCAATTTTATTTTTTTTAACAATATATGCTCAAGCAATTCCTCTACCTAGTTCAATACCCTACCAAGTTCATACAGTTTCGTTTTAGAAACCATGCTCTGTGAATTTCACATTAGGTCTCCTCTTCTCATTTCCACATTTTCACCTGCAGGGCCTCTATTCATTTTCCAGTCACTCAACAGCTAAACTCCTATCAAACAGTTTTAATAGTTTGGAAGGAAGAAAACTGTAGAACAGAAGCCATTATTGCTTAGCTTTGGGTATTTCGCTTTGTCACCCATTTCCTAAACTGGGTGATGAACAATCACTGTTTTGCCCAAAATTTTCAGTAACTTTTCTTAATTTTCTATTCATAGGTGTTTGGCTTTATAGTCTGTTTTGTGTCTTACAGAGCAAAACAGAGTATCTCGTCAAGCCTGTCAAAAAAGTCTATTCATCTACTTAAAATTTCCTATGTCACTACACACCCTGCAATCAGGTAAAGTGGATACTCACAGTATTCCAGATCAGTTGTTTCACTCAGGAGAACAGAAAGAAGTTTCCCCGCAAAGCTAGCACAAAGCTAGCCTACTATATTGTCCCAGTGCTTCAG